TCCTAAGACATTCCCTAATATGTCTATTATGAGAGATATCTTAGTTTTAGGATGGAAATAGTCGCAACCTCGGGTTAAGGTCCTATGTCTAGGCTACTTAACCGGAACCCTTATGTCTAAGGTGTTCCTCTCCTCGGTTTAACAACTCAAAAATGCAAATAAGCAACCTTTTCAGTATTGACTTGTTAAGACTTACAGTGGCCTTCTCTAAATCCTAACTTTTTGGAAAAACATGTTGAGCAATGAGTGGAAAGCAAAAACACTACTCCTTATCAACCCTTTTTAGAAATAAAAGACTAACTATCCATAACCGGGCTAGAGACGGGAATTTAGAAAGACATATTGAAGAAAATACAGCAAGTAAAATGGTTGAAATTGAAATGCATGTGTGAAAAACAAAAGTTRACTAACGGAGAGTTTKGCTCGGGATTGAGAGCTTCSCYYTTCTCTTTCAAGCAAGGGGGAGTGTYACGTRYTMTTTCCTCCAAAAACACAATTCTCTTAACTAAAAATAAAGTAAAGGCAAAGTAAAGATAAGCTAAGTGCTGGATTTTTATAAATTTGAATAGGTAGAAAATAACTAAGTAACAACGGAAACAAAACAAAGCTCAATAAAGGAATGTAAAGTGCTCGGGATTTAAAAACTAAAAGCAACTAATGAAAGCAACTCAAAAGTACTTAGAAAGCAACAAAAAAACACTAAGAATGATTAAGAGAAGGAAGCAAGGCTTGATGAATTTGGTGGAGAAGCTGCTGGAATTTATAGTTGTGCAGAATTAGTTAGGTAGGTCCTAAAACGCTGGTGGATCACCCATTTCCAACTCCTTTGACTGACCAAATCATGCTCAAACTGATAGTGGAACACTTCTTCTACACGTATGCATCGGTTGGAACCACCAAAACGCATTGGAAGATGCGTTTCATTAAGGGCAAAGTTGGAAGAAAATCAGGATTTCTGCAGCCTACCAGGCGCCTGGCGCCTCCAATGAAGGTTTTTCCGTCTTTTTRCTTCTTTTGATTAATTTGCACTCCCAAATGGTCCTAAAATGTCATAAATACAATATAAGCCAACCACAAACCATCATATATGAATTTTGCATGAATTGGAACTCAAACGACCGAGAAAAAGTCCGAAACAAGGTTAAAACATAGTAAAAACAGCATCTAAAATCTTCTTTTTACGCATGTAGACAAGCGTAATCAGCGAGGAATCTTTTGAAAGGAAAACTATTGGGGCCTTGGGTAAAAATGGTCAAGGGCCAATAGATTGTAAAGACATCTTGGGAATAAACGGCCGAGGGTCGATGCAGTAATGTCGGGGCTCTGGGTAAAAATGGTCAGGGGCCGACACTACCAACAGAATAGCCTTGGAAAGCTAGAATAGTTGAGATGAGCATAGAGGTGCTTTAGGTGTTGAGGAGCCACGTGGACGGTAGTTGAATTGTACATGGTTGTGGTTAGCACCGGGTTTTATAGAGCGTGTCTATGGTTGATTGTATAATGTAATGAAGAGCATGACTATGTATGTTTTTCTTTTATGACTTTTGAGCATGATGTTTGTGTGTGATTGGTGAGGGCTACTTACGGAGTATATGACTGGAGGTTATGCTGCACGCACTAAGCGTGGTAACAATTCTATAGATGCAAGCGCACACCTGTCAGAGTAATATAAAATGGATGGAGTGTCCAAGTATCGGTCCTCAAGGACTTCTAAATAATTTTCAAACTCTAAAGTTTTAATGAATAGTGAACGTTAAAATGAGTGATTCTTGTAAAATGGGAAGTGGTCACAAATAATGGTTTTGGATTTGG